GATAGGTTTATTGCCTGGAGCCTGAGTCGCCAGGACAAGGGAAAGTGCCGAGGGATTTTGAGCTATCCCACCCCCCGGTATTACCGTTAAACCCACTTTGAACCACGACCTTGTGTCCCGGTAGCGACGTAGGCGCGGTAAAAAAATACACCCTTCTGTGTTCATAAACTTTTTATTTAAATTCCTTATTTCTATATTCCTTGGAATATACACTGCAGTTCAAAAATTTGTACCCACCCGAAGAATTAGCATAGGATGAAAATGAATGAAGAGTGAAAAAAAAACTCTTAGTCATTGAGAAAAAAATGGAATCAATTATCAAACTTATACTTTGAGAAACGTCTGCAACGAATGCCAAAAAAAGGTTTGTTTAATCCCAAATTCAATTTCCGCATGTATCTATATTTTGCCATAATTTCGGACCTCTCATTTAACGACTCAGCACTACCATTGTATATTGCTTAAAATATCCCAACTAAACAACATCGAAATAATCACAAACATTTCAAAAACCATTATGGATATAATCAAATCCTCAAACGTCCACAGCAATAATATTTCTAAAGCAGGCATTTAAAATAAATTGACAAAACTGTTCCTCACGATACATTAGAGAAACATGCAGAAAGTTTTTTAAAAATGCATTTATGAGCACAAAAGGGACCTCATAAATAACAATTTACCATATACACTAAGCATACATCGAAATAAATTCAACCACAATTTTGATTTCATAAATACTACACTCATAAAAGAAAAAAATCACTCAGAAGAAAAATCCTCGAGAGTGGCGCCATTGAATATTATCCAAATTCTTTTGAATTTCACCAATCTTAATTGAATCACTATTCTCCCAATCAAACCTACACAATAAATATATTAAGAAATCAAAGGAAAACGGTTGAATCCGTCAACACAATATTTCTGTATTTGAAAATATTTTCTTCAAAAATAAAGTAATTGAAGTAGCTGACCATATGAATATACAATAGCGTTCCTAAATTCTTCTAGTTACTAACGACATTTTCTTTTTCGTTTATAGATAATTTGTTTCAAGGAATTAATTTGGTTATTTACCTGGGAAAATTCCACATTGGACGAAACGCGTCAGCTAAACCCACATAATTTTCCATTGTCTTTTTTCCATCATACTTATATATATATATATATATATATATATATATATATATATATATATATATATGACAATATATATAAACGCCCTGAAAAAATAAATTTCGTTCGAGCACTTTAGAGAGAAAGCGCGAATTTGTAAACAATGACTGTTACTGCTGATAATGCAAGACTCTCTATGAATCGAGCACTCTGAGTCACTGGTATGATTATTCAAAATAAATACGTAAATATTCACCCAGAGAGCCGATAGCTTAGGGGAGAAATCTCCGATTGATACCAAATCAATCGGATTTCGATCCTGGCTTGAGGATGCCTAGATGTGATATAGTGAAACAGTCTCTCTGTGGATGACAAGATAGATAGATAGATAGATACATAGATAGATAGATGTTCATATATATGGATGCGAAGCTTGTTATTACTAAAAACTCGTAAAATGAAGGCTTGCTGCCCAAACACGCAATGTGTGTGTTTATGTGCATGCATATGCGTATGTTGTTCTTTATCAGCGTGCGAAAGTACATCTGCTAATATATGGCATTTGAACAAATGGCGGTCGCCCTGGAGTCATTAGGAAATAAGCAAATATTTCTGCAGCTCGGCCGGACGTTTTGGCCCAACTTTCAGTTAGAAGTTCGTGGAACGAAATTAGCATTTTCTGAAGTGAGAAAAATGGCTCTTTGGAAATTGATACTTTGAATAAAAGCATCGCTAGAACGAAATATCTGCAGTAATATTTCGTTCTCAAAATAGAACGCTATTGATTGCTTTGAGATGTCATACATCTAAGTTCGGCCATGGTCTCAACGAGAAAGAGGATGCTGAATCTCCCCCACTAGACTGTAAATGATTTTGAACTCCATCAAGGCTTAAAAGCGAAGATTGAACAGCGCCAGCCTAGATATTGCAGTATTTTAGATGTTTTTTTTTTTTTTTTGGTTTTGTTTTTGTTTTTAAACGTGGTAATCCCAAGCAAGGCTGTAAAGGCACTATGACAGAAGAGGTTACTGGGTGGGGAATAGTTAGAAAACAGAAACATTACTAAGGAACGAGAAGGAAAGAAGTGTAATCAGGAGGACAGTAGATAGCGATTGACATTGCATTTAAACTTTTGAAGATTAAAGCTGCCTGGAAAACCAGGAACCAAAAAGGAGTTCCAAAAACAGGATGTGCGAGAAAAGAAGCTTCTAGCACAGAACTTATGATTACATCTAGCCAACTCAGCTGTAAGTCGATGAGGTCTCGTCGCTAGTCCAGTACTGCGCTTAAATTCATAAAGTCTGGGTATCACAGCGAAGATCTCCGAACAATTACCATAAAATTATAGAAAAGGCCAGTTTACGGAGATGGGAAAGTGGCTGACGCCAAGACGCTAGATCAAGACTGATTCTTTTTTTTTTTAATCTGACTCTTGTAAAAATAAAGCCTGGGAAATGGAATCAGGTCCTGTAACTGAGAATTTACAAGAAGGATTTGAGAATTTTCCTTGAATCTTTAGCAATGGATTCCATATATGATTTCCAGTACAGGTCTAGAGTGAACTCGAAACTCAAAAGTATTTCACTCTTATCTGAGACCATATTCAGGAAATTAAATTGTCTTTCAGAGTGTATATGTATCAATGTAAATTCAACGTATTTCAACTGTCTGTTTTACTGCATTATGCAGCGTTCTAGATTTCAAAATTCAAAATACACATGTTTTTCCCAAAGTATAAGGGAAGTAACTTTTTTATCATATATATATATATATATATATATATATATATATATATATAATTTTTTGCTGCTACAAACATTTAAGACTTTGTTGCTGTACTCATAGTTGACTTTATTAATCCTCTTACATAATCTTACATAATCCTCTTACATAATCTTTAATAATCCTCTTACCTAAAGGGTTTCTAAGATTTTTATTTTTTGATTATTATTTTTTTATGTAATATAGACGTATTTTCAACTAATATCTGTCTAAACTGTGAGTAGCGGCATGGGTGTACCTGTAGTGAGATTGAACTATGCTCGTCCAAATGGAATGTGAGCCTTTTTGTTAGCATCATCGTAGTAAATCCAACGTTGGTTCATGATCTTTTAACGTCGAGTGAGGCTAAAGTTTCATTATTGTTTTTTTTTTTTTTTTTTTTAGAATTTGGAGTACTTCGTGTGTTGACGTTATGTTGTATTTATTTTGAATGTAAGATGTAATCAGTTGATCATCCCGGAATATTCCGTAGTCGTCGATGTGAAAATTTTATTTATATTACTTAGGATAAAGATTCACATCAGATCAGACACCTCTGCTGTGTCAAATGAACCTTAGAGGACATCAAAATTACAAGCTTTGGATTTCCTAATCCATGGATCCACATAATATACTGGGATGATGGACTAATGGTGGTACCGGAAATAGCAATTCTATCAAGAAATAGCTATGAATGATGTTTAAAGGTCTGGATTTTGATAGCGGAGATCAACAGGAAAGTAGTCCAGTTTTTGGACATAGAACTAAACGAGGTGACTGCAGCCATATCATATTTTATAAAACCTAATACGCCTTTGAGATACGTAAATACGATATTCTACCACCCATAAAGTGTGATTAGACATATCCCATCAGGCGGAAAATGCAGATTGTCAAAAAATTCTTCAAATGAAGAAATATTCACTGAAAACAAGGAAAATATATGCATCTGCTTTAAGAAAGAAGAGGCATAATGTCAACCCGTGTTTCAAGGAGCAAGCAGATCCAAGAACAAATAACAATCAATACTGCATCAACCCACACTTCAACATGCAAGTAAAAACAAATATGGGGAAAATATTTTAGCCTTCTCAAAAAGCATTTCCGAGAAGTGTCCGGGCTGTAGACATTGTTTAACCGTGATACAGACAAGTTGAGCTGGAGTTGCCTTAGCAACCTAGACAATATTATCAAAAGATTGAACGAAAGAAATTCAAATCTTGAAGATGACGTGAGAAATAAGGTCCTTTGTAATTGTAGGATAAAGAATAATTGTCCCTTATATAGGGTATGTTGTACAGAATGTGTAGTGTATTGTGCCGAGGTAGAAAATGACAGTGGCAGTAAAAAGTCATACATTGGTTGCACTGAGGGCCAATTGAATAAGAGGTGTTACAACTATAGCTGGTCATATAGAATACCAGAAGGCAGGTTCAATACAAATCTAGTGAACTACTATTGAAAGTACAGGTGGAAAATGAAAGAAGCCCGGTCATTAAGTTGAGTATTTTATGGTAACACATGTAGGCTGTGTCAGGACGAGAAGTTAGCTATTGCAAGTAATTGAATGGAGGAACTGAGATCATGGTCGCACTGTAACCGATTAATTCGCTGAATAAAACACGTGATGAGACCTTGGCGGTCGAAACTGCAACAAATATTTTAGTGTTTGTTTATTTCAATATATATATATATATATATATATATATATATATATATATATACTGCGGTGGCTGCGTAATCTCTTTAGATCCAACCTCGGACTCATTTCACATAGGATATATAAATGAGTACCTCAATACTCGGCAACTAGTATCGCAAACCACGAAGACACACAGACACACACACATACACACACACACATACCTATATGTGTGTGTGTATGTGTCTGTAAAACTTTATATATATGTATGAGAAAAAAAGGCTTCAAGCAATTAGAGTACTCAATATCGTAGATATACCACTTATTGATATATAGATAGAATGAACGTAAGAATCAAAACTACAGGTTCACGATCAATTTTAGGCCTTAATGCGATCCTTAGATAAAGTAACAGTGCAACATAAATTTCTCAAAAGAAATTTTCTCAGTCTGTTCATATCTATCTATCTATCTATCTAAGCCTCTGTTAATATCTATCTATCTATTTCAGCCTCTGTTAATATCTATCTATCTATCTATCTATCTGTCTATCTATCTATCTATCTAAGCCTCTGTTAATATCTATATATCTATCTATTTCAGCTTCTGTTAATATCTATCTATCTATCTATCTATCTATCTATCTATCTATCTATTTCAGCCTCTGTTAATATCTATCTATCTATCTATCTATCTAAGCCTCTGTTAATATCTATCTATCTATTTCAGCCTCTGTTAATATCTATCTATCTATCTAAGCCTCTGTTAATATCTATATATATATCTATTTCAGCTTCTGTTAATATCTATCTATCTATCTATCTATCTATCTATCTATCTATTTCAGCCTCTGTTAATATCTATCTATCTATCTATCTATCTATCTAAGCCTCTGTTAATATCTATCTATCTATTTCAGCCTCTGTTAATATCTATCTATCTATCTATCTATCTAAGCCTCTGTTAATATCTATATATCTATCTATTTCAGCTTCTGTTAATATCTATCTATCTATCTATCTATCTATCTATTTCAGCCTCTGTTAATATCTATCTATCTATCTATTTCAGCCTCTGTTAATATCTATCTATTTCAGCCTCTGTTAATATCTATCTATCTATCTATCGATGTCTTCATATGTATCTTTCATCGTGTCATATCTATCTGTCTATACCTATCTACTTCAGTCTCTGTTAATATCTATCTATCTATCTATATTTCTTTCTTCGTATATCATATCTATCTTTCTATCTAATTCAGCCTCTGTTAATATCTATCTATATTTCAATCTATCTATCTCTGTCCTCATATCTATCTTTCTTCGTGTCATATCTATCTATCTATCTATCTATCTATCTATCTATCTCTTCTTTCAACGAATGTTTTGATTTGGTTTTGCTTATTTATTTCTACGTCAATTCTATTTTTTTATTTTCCTTATAACACTTTTTCCCTTTTTCCTAATCATTCCGCATCCACTGTTCAGCATCCTTGTTTTTCCAGATGATGTTCGCCCATGATAAAGGCACATGACATAAAATTAGATTCCTCTCTTTATTAGTGCATACACTAGTTGACCCGGAAATAACTGAAGTCATCTTGGGATTTGTTTTAAGCTCGTGGAAACAATTACAGTCGCTCACTCGCTATGATTATAGCCCTGCGCATGCGTATCAGTTATACCTCGAATTGCATATCTCAATGAATATCGCCTAAGTCGTTCGCATTGCTTGGAAGTCAACCAGTATTATTAAACATACTTAAATATGACTTTTCTATGAGAGGGTGCTGAAAATTTCTTGAACCAGCTCACTTCACAAAATGCGGCCGAATAGCATGTTCTATAATTACAAGAGTCTGAAAATTGGAGTATTTTGTCGGGAGCTGTTCAGTTTTCACTTTCTACGAAGCCTTTCGCGTGTTGAATTATTTTGCAGCCTTTACTATCCTTTTCTTCACAGACAAAATGGCGCAAGCCTATCGCTACTCTAACTCTATTCCCATGGAAGATTTTCTGTTGAGTTGCTGCGTTTCTTGTTCCATCAGTTCAGACCTTTACAGCTAAGACACGTCATGACACTCATACAGGATCATATCATCCTCATTCCCTTCGTATTCTACTGGAAAGAAGGAGTTTCCTTTCGGATGGTTTTTTTTTTCCCAAGAATCGCTACTTTGTGGAACCAACGTTGTCGGAGTCACTACAACCGCAACTTCTACAAATCTCGGATCTATCGTCAGTTACTTTCAAATGCCTAATTCTGTAGCTCTTTGTCTTGAGTAGCTCTTGTGCATTGTATTTGGGATTTTTTTATTATTTAGCAATAATAAAAAAAAACTGAGAAGTTTCAAAAGATTTTTGCAACATTTTTTATTAAATCTCGCAAATTTCGTATCTCGGTATTTAAAAAAGATATGAATTAACCCTAAATAGTTGATTCGGTATTTAATTTTGAATAATTCGGGAAATTTTTAACAGTTTCGATCTATTATATTCATAATTATAGATTTTTCTAAAAATTGGTGCAGTCCAAAATTATTCGACCCTTTTATGGAAATTATGAAAATTCAATATGAACACCTTTTGAAAATGAAATAGTATTGACCTGATTCTATAATATTCTACACAGTAATGATGAAGAAAATATGACAGTGTCACGTACCGTGATAACCCATGCATTCTGCAACCATGGCGACAACGGCTAAACTTGAAAAGGAAAGCTGAATGAAGTTAGTTGATGCGTACAAACAAGGTGATGGGTATACAACACTTTCCAAGAGTCGAAATGTTCCTAGATCAACAAAGCAGTGTCAAAAACTACAACGAGACTCATTGTGTTGAGAATAAATTTTTAAGAGAATGGAAAGGAAAAAGAATCTAAAAGAATCCTCAATAAATGAGAAAATGACATTATCAAATGATGCAATAACATCAGGGTTGAATGTATCGACAAAAACAGTCACCGGATGGATTCCTCGAGCAGAACTTTGAGTTTATCGCCCAAGAAAAACTTCCTTTCTTAAAGTTAAACGCCTAAAATGCAGATTAGCTCATGCTAGATGTCATCTATGAGAGTAAATAATGGAACATTGGTTGATGGTCAGATGAAACCAAACTAGAACAATTTGATCACATGAACTGCCATTATGTATGGAGAAAAGTAAAAGAAGCTCACGAACCAAAAATTACCCTCCCTAGAATTGAGCATAGTTTTTTTTTTTTTAAGCATTTCACCCCAAGCAAGGCGGGAAGCCACTAGGACGCAAGGGGTTACAGAAAATAGGAAGATCAGATAGGAGTGATAGATGAAAGGATGAGGGTAGTAGATAGATTAAGGCAACTGGAGATGTCGATTGACATTACACTTGAATAGCTGGAGATTATAACTCACAGGGAAACAGGAGAAGGGAAGAGAGTTCCACAGGCGAGAGGTGCGAGACATGAAGCTATTAGAGTGGAAGAGACGGCTACATTTAAAAGTTTCGACAGTGAAGGGGTGAGAGCGGGATGCCAGCCTCGTAGGGCGCTTGAACTTATGAAGTCTGGGAACCAGCGAATGCAGCTCCTCGGAGCAATTTCCATGAAAGTATTTGTAGAACAGACAGAGGGAGGCGACGGTGCGTCTGTGAGAAAGTGACTGTAGACGAGACACCAGGGCAGGGCCAACCATATTGCATATCCGCTTCTGGAGCCTATCAAGAACCCCGAGGCAAACAGAAGGGGCGCCAGACCATATTGGTTGGAGTATTCTGCTCTGGGGTTGTTGAACTGTTTCTGGACTAGGAGTACTAGTGAGAGAGAAGGGTATCATGGATAAAGAGCAGGATTTGGCTATTCTTGAAAATAATATGAAGATAGAGCTCGAAAGCTGTTTTGACGGATATCACTGGATTTCCAACATAATAATGACACGCGGCACAAATTGTACAAAATATTTAGATGTCAGCAAAATTAAGGTATTGGGGCACGCGGCACATTAAACATTTCTGGGCATATTTGAAGAAAAATATAAGAGAAAGTTGTCCTTTGAATTTGGATAAACTAGACGCCAAGGAAGTGTGTATAAAAATACCTACCAGTGTGTATAATCTTGTAAAGAAATATAAAACATGATTAAAGGCAATAATCAAGAATACAGTTTACAGAATTGATTACTTAGGCAAGATGGCCAATAAATTTGTTATTTTTTTTTGTGTGTGTATTTGGTATTGTAGTTTGAGATTAAAATAAAAATATTGTCGTGGCCATCGCTCCACATTCTTTCAAATCCATTATTTCATAATTTGTGAAAAAAGTTACCGTGAAAATTTGCGGTATTATATCTTCATTGAAATTATGGAACTGAGATAAACACACACACACACACACATATATATATATATATACATACACACACATATATATATATATATATACATACACACACATATATATATATACATACATACACACATATATACACACACACATATATATATATATACATACACACACATATATATATACATACACACACATATACATACACACACATATATATATACATACATATACATATACACACACACACACATATATATATAACAATTTTGAAAAGAGCATTTCAGAGAAAGAATTAATTTCCAATTATTGAAGTTTTTCTTGCTTGATTGGTTGGTTGTTTTTTAGCAGCACATCAATCCTTATAGGCCATTTGACGCCGAAATATAAATATTTTTTACGAAATTTTATTTTTTAATAGAATAATAGTTTAAGTTATATATGTCTTGTTAATTAACCCATAATTGTGGGACATTATAGGTGGCTTCATACGTTTCACAAAGGTATTTGCTCGTAAATGATTGTAATAATGGAATTGAAATTAGGCTCTCTTATTAACAATTCCGAGCCATTATAGCAATCGCATATGAAAGCTTAAAGCGCCTAGTATTAATAAGAGGTCACCCATCGAGGTACTGACGAGGAATGACATTAATTCAATCTGACGTATATAAAATGCCATGTAGGTAAGTAATTAGTACATTTTACCATTAATTTTAACTTACAAATGCAGTTTTGTTTAAGAGATAAAAAAGATAAAAATTTATATATCCCAATTTAAAATAATTTATCTCACTCAGCCTCCTTATCTATCTATCTATATCTATATCTATATATATATATATATATATATATATATATATATATATATAACAGTTTGTTCTCTCTCAGTAAGTTCATATCTATCTATCTGTTTATCTATCAGCCTCCTTCTCTATTTGTATTAAGCCTAAAATATATTAAAAGTTAAATCTGATGAATACTCCACGATGAATTGATGTTCAGGATCGTAGAACATAGCTCTGTACTATACAAAATACAGGCGATGCAATGTGGATAATTCAAAACCTTAGAGACAAACACAGAAACGAAACAAATGCAATAAAAAAGCTGAATGACTTCAGCTGCACGAAATGTCTACATGCATTGGACATTACAATTTAAATTTAAAGCTGTGTGTCTATGCATCTTTTACGCTTCCGATATAAAACCGCACTCCCCGCTTTTTATATATTCGAAAATGATTCCCTTAATGAAACCGTTATTAGACTGAATAAGTCCATCCATTTCGTTATTCGCTTTAGTCACAATTGATTTATGTTAGTCTGTTCATATCTATCTATCTATCTATCTATCTATCTATCTATCTATCTATCTATCTATCCCAGTCTGTCTGTTCATCTATCTATCTATCTATCCCAGTCTGTTCATATCTATCTATCTATCTATCTATCTATCTATATCTATCTATCTATCCCAGTCTGTTCATATCTATCCATTCTATCTATCTATCTATCTATCTATCTATCTATCTATCTATCTATCCCAGTCTGTTCATATCTATCTATCTATCTATCTATCTATCTATCTATCTATCTATCCCAGTCTGTTCATATCTATCTATCTATCCCAGTTTGTTCATATCTATCTATCTATCTATCTATCTATCTATCTATCTATCTATCTATCCCAGTCTGTTCATATCTATCTATCTATCCCAGTCTGTTCATATCTATCTATCTATCTATCTATCTATCTATCTATCTATCTATTCCAGTCTGTTCATATCTATCTATCAATGTATCTATCTAATGAATTCAGTTATTCTGTATGAGCGCAGGAATTGATTTACCCGACTCGATAATCGGGGTTAACTTATACTTAATACTTATACATGTATTTACTTAATATTTTAATGCTATTCGATTTTTGAGGATGTAACAGAAGCAACCCGTGTGTTAAATTTAACGCTGTTTAGTCGGTCTCCATCTGTATTTATTGATTTAAATTTATCGACCTTTGATTCCACTCCTAATGTAATTCCTACCAATAATATGCATACAGCAA